GTTACATACAACCCCCACTCCATCTTTGKTCACGCAAAACATAATTTAGGTTAGATACTCTCTGTGGGAATGATCCTTAAAAGCACTATTGCATTTATTTTTACGAGTATAGGTTTAATTTTTGGGTGCCTACGATGGCACGCCAAATTTTGGCACCGTTGTCGGGGAATTTTTCTAATTAGTTTTTGTTCTTCTCGTGATCATTGTGTAGTTTCTTGAAATTTTCGAAAAAAAAAAATTTGTAGAGTATTTTCTGTTTTATTTATTTATTCTAGATTTTTTTTTTATTTTTTTTTATGGTATGTCGTTCATGGTTTATTAGGGTTTCCTTGATTAATGCTTGTAACTCGATTCTCTAAGAAAGGTGATTTGCAGTTCGATCCGGAAATAGAGGGGACTTTGCACAAGTTAAGGAGGGAAGCTCGGAGTCATTCTGAAGAGAACGATCCAGCCTTTGATTCCCTATCTATTGGTAGTTCTGATTTGAGAAAGGAGGAAATCATGGATGGTAACCGAACCTTGAAAGAGCTTGCCGCACCTGATTTGAATCAACAACCCTTATGCATAATTTTTCCTGCTTTAGATGTTGAAGCTAATTTTGAATTGAAATTTGGACTGATATATCTCTTGCCCACTTTTCATGGTCTTGCAAGTGAGGATCCTCACAAAAATTTGAAGGAGCTGCATGTGGTATGCACGAGTATGAAACCCATGGGGGTAATTGAAGAGCAAATCAAATTGAGAGCCTTTTCATTCTCTCTAAAGGATTCGGCTAAGGATTGGCTCTATTATCTACCCTCCAGAAGTGTTACCACATAGTACAAGATGAAGAGGCTATTCTTAGAGAAGTACTTCCCAGTTTCAAGGGCGACCAACATCAGAAAAGAAATTTGCAATATAAGGCAATGCAACAGGGAGTCCCTACATGAATACAGAGAACATTTTAAGAAATTATGTGCAAGCTGCCCCCATCATCAAATCAGCGAGCAGCTACACTGATAGGAGCATAATTGATGCTGCTAGTGGAGGAGCTTTAGTAGATAAAACTCCCAAGGCCGTGAGAAATCTGATTGCAAATATGGTGGCCAACTCTCAACAGTTTGGCTATAGGCTTAACCCTCCATCAAAGTATGCTAATGAGGTAAATATCTCTTCCCTTGAACAACAAATTGCGAGTCTGACCTCTCTTGTCCGTCAAATGGCCGTAGGTAACATGAAAATGGTGAAGGCTTGTGGGATATGTTCGGTAGTAGGGAATCCAACCGATATGTGCCCAACTCTTCAAGAGGAGCCCGTTGAGCAAGTAAATGTAGCGGGTGGTTTTCCGGGGCAACCACAGAGGAAGTATGATTCCTACTCGAGCACATACAATCTGGGATGGAGGGATCAGCCCAATCTCAGCTATGGGAACCCGCAAAATCACCCAATTTTCCAGCAATATCAGCCATACCCCCAAAACAACAGCCAGGCCAAACTTCTAATTCAGGTATGTCTTTAGAGGATATTGTCAAATCTCTTGCCACTAATACTTTGCTATTTCAACAGGAAATGAAACAATTTTAGTAAGAGACAAGGGCTAGTATCCAACACTTGGATAATCATATGGGCCAGATGGCAACCGCAATTAGTCGGTTAGAGGCACAAAGTTCGGGGAAATTACCCTCTCAAACGGTTGTGAATCCAAGAGAAAATGTAAGTGCAATCATTTTGAGAAGTGGTAAAGAGGTTGAAACTCCAGCAAGGGCAGCCCTCGCATTGTCGAATCAAGAAAAGGAGAAAGACATCACTCCCAATGATGATGAAGTACCTAAGTGCAAGTTACCACCCTTTTCTGATTATAAATCGATACCTCATTTTCCTAATGCTTTAGCTGGTTCTAGGAAAGATGAGCAGTTCAAAGATTTTTATGAAACTTTTCGTAGATGCTAGGTAAACATTCCACTCTTAGATTCTATTAAACAAGTACTTCATTATGCTAAATTCCTGAAAGAATTATGTACACATGAGAGGAAACATAAACTAAAAGGATGTAAAAAGGTGAGAGTAGGGGAGAATGTTTCTGCAGTCATTCAAAGAAAACTCCCTACAAAGTGCAAAGATCCAGGTATGTTCACTATCCCTTGCATGATAGRTAACACTAGAATTGAGAAKGCCATGYTAGACTTARGAGCTTCTATCAATGTCATGCCATATTCTATATATGCTTCTTCGAAACTTGGACCTTTGAATAAGACTGGTGTAGTGATTCAATTGGCTGATAGATTTAATGCCTATCCTAAGGGTGTAGTTGAGGATGTTCTTGTGAAAGTAAATGATTTGGTTTTTCCTACTGATTTTTATGTGCTTGATATGGATAATGGTGATCAAACCACTCCTATTTTGCTAGGAAGGCCATTTTTAAAAACATGCAAGACTAAGATAGATGTTTATAGTGACACACTCACCATGGAATTTGATGGTAAGATTGCTAAGTTTAATATTTATGATGCCATGAAATATCCTGCTGATGATAATCCTGTTTATTTTGTTGATGAGATTGATTATTTAGCACAAGAAGTTTTTGAACTTGATGGGAATGATGGATTATAAATTTCCATTAGTAAGCATCTTGAGAAAGATGAGTCAACATTGAATGCTGATTTGCAGGAAACTGTTGCAACATTAAATGATTCTCCAGAGTTACAACAGTCAGGTAATGCTCCTTATATTATGTTGTTGATTTCTAATGGGAGACCGTTACCCTCTGTTCTACAGGCCCCTATTCCAGATTTGAACCCACCCATGATGGATGAAAGGGGAGAACATCGGAAGTTTTAACTACAAGAGTTAGAGGATCCGGTTTATGATGATTAAAAACATGGAAGTTTATTTTTCTTCTTGTTTTTGCATTTATAGTTTAGTTATTTCCACCTTCTCTTTGCATTGTACCTTACATTGGGGACAATGTAAGTTTTAAGTGTGGGGGAGGGGATTTAGGTTAGAATTTAGGGTGCATTTTGAAATTTGATTGTGTTTTTCTGTATGCTTTGAAATAAAAAAAAACTCAACTCTTTTGGAATCAATTGAAACAGTGTTCTGGGACAATTCTTGTGAACTTAGTAAAGAAATATGATTAGGGAATATAGGATTCACCTGAATCCATCCCCTTTTCAAGCTAGTCCTAAGTCTAAGTTTAAGTAAATAGGGTAAATATTTTACCATTGCTACAATTGGTAGGATGGAGCATAAAATGCATATACCGACCAAGCAATTCAATAGTAGGATAAAGCATAAAATGCACCTACTAGCTAGTAATTCAAACAGTGGGATGGAGCATAAAATGCACCTACTAACCAAGTAATCCTAAAAGTGAGATGGAGCATAAAATGCACTCACTTCCACTAAGGAGAGAAAAAGGAAAAAGAGAGAGGAGATAAAAAAGAAAAAAAAATTGTTTTCCCTAGTTTACTACCTGGTTTGTAGTAGAAAAAATTGGATTGGTTGATGGATGAGTCCTATATAACTTGGTCGTGTTGATTTAATGGTTTGCAATAGTTAACCTAGAATATTTGTGGAAAAAGATGAAGGAAGATTGAGTTTAATGTTTGGTAGTTTGATTAGTTTGTTTAAATTCTGTCTTGCCCAAGGACGGGCAAGGTCTAAGTGTGGGGGGATTTTATGAGAATGAAAATTATCATATTTTTATCCCTTAATATTTAGTCTTTCTTGTGAACTTAGTAAAGAAATATGATTAGGGAATATAGGATTCACCTGAAGCCATCCCCTTTTTAAGCTAGTCCTAAGTCCAGGTTTAAGTAAATAGGGTAAATATTTTACCATTGCTACAATTGGTAGGATGGAGCATAAAATGCA